GGTTGGGAACGTTCCCCTGATATTCAGCCTAAATCTGACTTCCTGTAACTTGAGTGCATTTTTGGCTGGATTCAAGGAGGTCCCGTAGTGAGTTGCAAAGGACTCTACAGCAGGTTGGGCATCATCAGCTCCCAACCGATGAAGGCTCCCCCGGTCGGCTTGGAGCGGAAGACTGGGGAGACTCCAGATGGACAAGAACAGCCCGGGAGGTGTCGGGGTGGCCAGTGGGGTGAGAAAGCCAGGCTTGGGAGGCAGGGATTCCACCCCCTTCACACGCAGATGTGGGATCCCGTGGAAGGCCTTCCGCAATGCCCGTCCACCCCATGACGGTACAGGAAGGCAAAACCGGGGACGCACACGCAGGAAAAGGAAAAGACCGGGCGGGTCGGATGGAAAACCTCCCATGGGCTTGCTGTTTGCAAGAGAGATTGCTCTCAGGCAACGGAGCGGCCAAGCACACACACACACTGTCCCTGCCAGGCCTGTCATTCGTTATGTAAAGCGGGAACTGAAGAGGGTTAGAAGCCACCCAAAGCCAACTGCCAAGGAGTTTGGGAAGGAGAAAGAGGCCCTCAAAGAGTTCCCAAATCCACAGGCAGGGGAGATTTTGATTGAGATTCACTCTTGCCTCTTCTGAGGGGCCATGAAGTGGCATCCCGGTGAAAAAGATCCTACCAATGAGCCGTCTCCAAGGTGTCCGGTCCTCAAGAGCCCTGCTCTGTTCTCTGCCCTCGGCTCAAGCCTGTGGCTTCCTTTAGGGAGCCCGTCCATCGCTTGGCTGGCCTTCCTCTTTTCCCTCCGCCTTCCTCCTTCCTAAGCCTGACTGACCTTCCCAGAGGGTCTCGTCTTCTCATGACGTGCCCAACAGACAGGAGTTTCCAGTCACTCCTTTGGGCTCCTAGGGAGGGCTCCAGCTCGACCCTGGGCCCCTCTGGCCAGGGCTGACCTTCTGTCAAATGGGGGTTCCTGGACAACACTTGATTGCAGGGCACCCCCCCCCAAGAGAGACCCGGCCCTTGTAGCGCCGGCAAGCCCTCATTCTTCTCCATCACCTTTCACGCGTTGTTCTCCATGACCAAAGCAGGAGGGACCTGATTCACCCCTTGGCACACAAAGGTCAAGAGTAGACCTTTGGTCTAGCTGGGCGGGATAGAAATCTAATAAAGTAAATTGAGAAGGGCCGGTCCTTTCACTGCCCTCGGACCAAAACCAGCTTGGGTTGCCCTCTTTCCTCCCCCCCACCAGGATTTCTCTTCTTTTCTGTCCTGGGGAGAAGGACCAGGAGAGGAAAGATAGACACACAGAGAGAGAAAACCCAGCCAGACGACTGACAAGAAGACGGTACACAAAACGTTTGGGTTTCCAGCACTGTTCATGTGACATTTACTGCTTTCCTTCAGAAGACAGCCCATCTTCCCCATGGTCTCACGTTGCCTGGGAATGATGGGAATTGAAGTCTAGGGACGCCTGGAGGGTCCCCACAAAAGCCCATCTGTCTGATGCTCAGGGTGCTCCGCCAGATGCCCCGCCTGCAGTTGTGCAGACTGGCAGTTGAACCGCCGCTCCGGCCAGTCTGCTTCTGTGGGTCCAGGTCCCTTCCCCTGCTCCTGCTCTCGTGGCTTGTCTTGGTCTCCTCTTTGCTGCTCCTTTCCCTGTTCCTCCTCCTCCTTCCTCCCCCTCCTCGCCCCCTTCTCTCCTGATGGGGTGCTGGGGAGTTGTCTGGAACTTGCTGCCTGCCCCAGCCGAGGTGATGGAGAGGAAGGCCCAGGAGATGCTGGCAGCGGCAAAGAAGGCGGCCGCCTAGGGACAGCCCATCCCTTACGTGTTGCTGGTGGGACCCTGGATGGACCGCGCTCTGCTGCTCCGGCGGCTGTTGATGCCGGCGACCGTGGCCGTGACCTTGGCCTTCACTCTGGTGGTTGCCCAGGTGGCCGGAGTGGGGCTGGGGGGCACGGCGCTCCTGCTGGGCGTAGTGGTGGGCTTCTGGGCGCTGGTGGAGGACTGGCGAGGGTTCCCCTATGAGCCCTCGCCACCCCCGTGCCTCTTCCGGCCCCGCGTCCCCCTCCGGCTCAGCCGCCCACGGCCTGTAACCCTCCCGCCTCTTCACACCACAGCCTCCCCCATCTCTTG